CAGCGTGGAGTGCATGCCACCAGGGAGGCGCTCGACATAGCAAGTGCATGCAGGTGCGGATTAAGAGGCAGGTTTGTTACATGTGGTGCATGTGCGGGCAGGGATGTTTGCATGCAGTGCAGGCAGGTGCATGTTGGGGTGTCCTGGATTGATGGCAAAGATGCCACCCGCGTGCATGCCACCAGGGAGGCTCTTGACATGAGCAAGTACATGCAGGTGCGGCATGGGGAGGAAGGGGGAGGGGAGGGGGGGGATGGGGGGCATGCAGTGCAGTGCAGTGCAGTGCAGTGCAGTGCCTGCTTGCTTCCTTGCTTTCTTGAATCCATCCCTGTGTGTGTGTGTGTGCGTGTGCATACATGCTCCCCTCCTCCCCATCCACATCCCCACCAGTCTGTGTGTGCATTTCCCTCCTCAACCACATCCCCTTGTCTGCATGTGTGAACAGGTGGATGTGGTACTGACGTTGAGTTTCAGCCGCCCGCTGAAGCCACCCGATTCGGACTTGCGACGACAAGTGCAGCGTCATCGACCCCTCAGAGCCCCTCAAAGTCCATTTGGGGCGTACGGGGCCCTCCTGGACCTCAGGTAAGCCTGCTGCGACTGCTAGCAAGTCTCTCTTTACAGTGGATGGATGAGACTCCCAATGATGAAGTATTGAGTTGAATCTCCCTTATGCCAGCTCCCCTCATCCCTGTGGCCCTGTGCTCATACCTCTTTCCTCACCCCTCCCCCCGGCAAGCTGTCCTACATAGAACATGCCACACGGTGTGGAGCACCACCACCGTCACCATCCTAGTAGACCTCGAGCGCATGATGTGTGCTGCACAGCCTTGTGGCGCATTCTGCTCGGTCATCTCCCATCCCCTCTTCCCCCCACCCTCTCCACCACCAGGCGAAGGGCCATCTGTCATACCATGAACATGCACCGGTGTTGGAGCACCACCGTCACCATCCTAGTAGACCCTCGAGCCAGGCAATGCCTTGGCCTCACTCCTCCTCCTCACTCCCCTATTCCCCCGTCCCCTTTCCACTTCCCCATTCCCCTCCCTCACAACCCCAGCAAGCTGTCCTACATGAACATGCACACGGTATGGAGCACCACCGTCACCATCCTGGACTTGGAAACTGGCGAGGGAACGTGGAGCATCTGCAGCCGGTGTTTGTGGTGCATGGCTTCATGATGACCATGGCTTGGGCTGTTCTCATGCCCTTTGGTGTGCTGGCTGCGAGATACCTCAAGCACAACGACTGGCTTTCGTAAGTGCTTGCTTCCTGAAGGCTCTAGGGCTGTTTTTTGCATCGCCAGCAGTCAAAGAGACGCTTGGCCGTGCTGTCAGCAGTCAAGGGGGTGGGAGAGGGCATGATGGAGCATCTGCAGCCGGTGGGTGTTTGTGGTGCATGGCTTCATGATGACCATGGCTTGGGCTGTTCTCATTCCGTTCGGGGTGCTGGCAGCGAGTCAGTGCCCTGTCCTCGCCCTCGTGCTTTTATGCTGCCCCTCACTCAGTTGCTCCCCGCTCAAGCAACTTCTCTGGTTTCCGTCCTTCCCTGTTCTCTTTCACCCTCACCCACCCCTCCCCCCAACAGCATCCACCAGTACACGCAGTACTCACCCTCGCTCTCATGCTCCTCGGCTGTCTCTCTGTCTCTGTCTCTACCTCCTCCCCTCCCCTCCCCTCCCCTCCCCTCCCCTCCCCTCCCCTCCCCTCCCCTCCCCTTCCCTCCCCACCCTCCCAACCCCCTCCCACCAACAGCATCCACCAGTACACGCAGTACTCCGCCCTTGCGCTCATGCTGCTCGGGCTGCTCTTCGCCGTCGGGTGAACTGGGCGGGTGCGTCCTTATCCCTTGCCTCCTCCCACCCGCCCTCGTTGCTCTTATCCCTTGCCTCCTCCCACCCGCGCCTCGTTGCTCTTATCCCTTGCCTCCTCCCACCCGCCCTCGTTGCTCTTATCCCTTGCTCTTGCATATATCCCGTCACACTCATATCCCATGCTTGTCTTAACCCTTCAGTCCTCCTACCCCTCTTGTCGCTCACCTTCTTCATTCTCTAGCATCTCAACGCCCATCGCCCTCTTTGATTCGCGTGCCTCTCACGCTCATGCCTCTTTGATCCTCCTACCACCTCTACTTCTTGTCGCTCAACCTTCTTGATTCTCTAGCATCTCACGCCCTCGCCCTCTTTGATTCGCGTGGCCTCTCAGTATGCCCACATTCACTGTCTGCTTCCCGTCTCATCAGCCCCCATCCTCCAATTGCTACCTCATGTTACTCTCTCGTCTTCTCCCATTCCCCCACCTCCACCTTCAATCCCACCTCCTGCTACTCTTCCCCTCCTTCCCGCTTCCACTTCTCTCCTACTCGCCGTGTCCCGCAGCATTGACCTATCATCCAATCATGCCAAGATAGGAATGGCAACGTTCCTATTTGGATGCTTCTTCTCGTCCCCAAATTCCCCCTCTTCGCCCCCCTCTCTCCCACTCACCCTCGCAGCATCGACCTATCATCCAATCATGCCAAGATAGGAATGGCAACGTTTGCCCTGGGGTCTTCCAGCCAATCAATGCCTTCTTCCGCCCGCCCAAAACCGTCGCCTGGGGAGAGGCCTCAGATGAAACGGGTCATACTGGCAGTGGGGTACACCTGTGAGTGCGTTTCATCTGGCATCCTGTGTATAGAAGAGACCATGTAACCTAGTGTATGCATACGCACAATGAGAGGCATGTTACGTGCACCTGATACGAAAAATGCCACTCCTCACAGACACGTCACCTGCTGTCTGTTAACCGGGGAGCGGTGGTGGTTGGGGGAGCAGCGCTGTTGACAGGGATAATGGAGTTGGGGGAGACAGGGGGAGTTGACTGCACAGTGGGAACGACTCCTGTGGGCCCCACACACATTGGGCAATAGGCACTCTTCATGCCTCTCTGCCTTTCCTGTTTTACACGCAGACTATTCGGACCGCGGAGCCCTCTTGGTGGGGGGAGCGGCGCTGCTGACGGGGATAATGGAGCTGGGGGAGACGGGGGGGGATGACTACACGGTGGACGGGTTCCTGTGGGCCATGGTGGGGTGGTTCGCCACCATCGCTGCCTTTGTTTGGTTCGTGGAGCGCACGAGAAGGCAGGACCAGTGAGTGCGGGGGCGAGTGGCAGGCTGTAATGCACTGAGTGCCAGGTGGGGTTCCTGTGGGCCATGGTGGGGTGGTTTGCCACCATCGCTGCCTTTGTGGTGGTTCGTGGAGCGCACGAGAACGGCAGGACCAGTGAGTGCTTGGGAGGGAGGGGGCTGTGAGTGCTGCGGGGGATGAGATAAGAGGAGCAATAAGGCCCACGGTGGGGTGGTTTGCCACCATCGCTGCCTTTGTGTGGTTCGTGGAGCGCACGAGACGGCAGGACCAGTGAGTGCTTGGGAGGGAGGGGGCTGTGAGTGCTGCGGGGGATGAGATAAGAGGAGCAATAAGGCCCACGGTGGGGTGGTTTGCCACCATCGCTGCCTTTGTGTGGTTCGTGGAGCGCACGAGACGGCAGGACCAGTGAGTGCTTGGGAGGGAGGGGGCTGTGAGTGCTGCGGGGGATGAGATAAGAGGAGCAATAAGGCCCACGGTGGGGTGGTTTGCCACCATCGCTGCCTTTGTGTGGTTCGTGGGAGCGCACGAGACGGCAGGACCAGTGAGTGCTTGGGAGAGAGGGGGCTGTGAGTGCTGCGGGGGATGAGATAAGAGGAGCAATAAGGCCCACGGTGGGGTGGTTTGCCACCATCGCTGCCTTTGTGTGGTTCGTGGAGCGCACAAGACGGCAGGACCAGTGAGTGCTTGGGAGGGAGGGGGCTGTGAGTGCTGCGGGGGATGAGATAAGAGGAGCAATAAGGCCCACGGTGGGGTGGTTTGCCACCATCGCTGCCTTTGTGTGGTTCGTCGAACGCACGAGACGGCAAGACCAGTGAGTGCTTGTGGGGGGTGCTGTGAGTGCTGGGAGGATGATACGGCAGGAGCAGTGAGTGGCAGGAGCCGTAACGCTGAATCTGCTTGTCGTGATCGCCCGCTCCTCCTGCTCTTCACTTGTCACATTCCAGTGTCCGTGGACAGGTGCAAGCAAGAGCAAACAAGTGTCTGCTCCTCTGCTGCTCGCCGCACAACCCTCTCTCACTCTTTGCACAGTTCAAGGCTGCAAAACCTCGCCAGTATGATTCGGTGCAAAACCTTATGATGATACTATACCAAGATGGCTATCACCCGTCTCTCCTCTCCTGTCTTCTATGAACCTGCCTCACGTGAACCCGTTCCTTGGGCACCTCCCTCACTCCTTGCAGTGCAACACCCAGGAGCTAGCCAACATGATTCGGCACGACTGGAACGGGTCGTCACCAGCATCGTCTGACATGCATGTGACCCAGCTAGACAGCGAGGATAGCGAAGACGACACGCGCAACCCTCATCCCCTCCACCCTCCGCTCCTCCTCCCACTCCTCTTCCACCTCCTCTCCCGCACCTGCCCGACATGGCCAGTCTGCGTCCCCTGCCAGGGTAATTTGTCTGGTTCGCTTGCCCGGCTGGGCCCTACATCTTCTTCACCTGCCCGGATGGGGAATTCTGGGTCGCCTGCTCATGGCTTGCCTGTGATTCGGGAGGGTCGGGAGGGCAGGGTTGGCGGGCATGGGGGGGGCTTGGGGAATGGGAGACGGTTTGTGGAGGATCATGATGGGGCGATAGAAATGGGGACCATCAAGGGTTGAGAACACTCTTGGGAGGTATTTCTCGCCTTGTGTAAGTTCTAAATGGTATTTCCCCCAAATGTTAGCTCGAGTCTTTCTTTGCATTGATGCCCCTGAAGCCCATTGCTTGGGGCGCTACAAGAGTACCACGTAGTAGTTTGTGCAATTACACTGGAGCCATGATCTGAACTTGCACCACCAACACTTCTACCATGATCAGTAGTACCTACGACAGTAGTGAACAACACAGAGAAAGCACACTGTACACTAGAACAAAGCAAGAATATCACAGCCAACCATTTTCAACTTCTGTTCTAGTGCACTAGTTGCTGGTGGTGCTGCAGAATCAGCAGCACCAGCTGCACCACCCTGTACCTCACCATCCTCTCCCTCACAATCCCCTCTCCCTACTTCTCCACCCCTCTCCTCCATGCCGGAATCCCTTCCTTTCATCTCCGCAATCTCCGCCTGGAGCAACGCGATCTTCTCTCGAAGACTCTGAACAACCACTTGATTCTCCATAAGCGCTTCCCGGTACACGGGATCCGGCTCCGCGACGTCCGCGGCTTGGAGCTCCTCGTTGGAACGTATAAGATGCCGAACTGCGTTCTGCAGCCGCTTTTCCTCCAATTCTAAAAGCTCCAGTCGCTGCTGCTGGTCCTGGGTTAGTTGTGCCATCGGCAAGAGAGGATTTGAGGACTGGTTCAGAGGAGGGCTGGGAGAGGTTCGGGATTGAGGAAGGGAGGAAGAGGATGGAGCGTGCAGGTCTGGTTGCTCGTGTGCGTGCTGGGCTGGTTGCTGATGTTGTGCAGATGAATTGCTCTGATGAAGATTGCCGCGATCCTGGTGATGGGTGGATGAGCGAGGTCCGCCGGTCTGCGAAGCGTCTCTGTCGATGTCCATGTCTGAGGTCGAACGTAAATCCATATTTTTAGCGAGAGATTCGGTGGGAGGGGCGAGTAGAGGACCGAATTTGTGGGAAAATCACGAAGAACGCACACAGCCGTTGAGATGGTGGTGGCGAGGTGAGGTGAGATTCGCTCCTAGGAAGGCACACTCTAGCAAATACGAAAGTAATCAATACACAACGAGTGTAGTAGATTGTTCGTTTGAAGTCTGCATAGGGAGAAATGCATATATCGAGACATGGGAAGTGGTATGGGTTCATTTGAACCTTGCATTTCTGCCGCCGAGTCACCTAGTTCCACGTGGGCAAGAAAGTTCCAAAGCTGTTTCCTCAAAGCTCGGGCACGTCATCAACAAATCCCAACACGAGTGCCTGAAAATCAACCTTCGTCAGCTTTCCTGCAGCATATCTGACCTAGCTGGACCGGTCCACCAATCACCGCCTTCAGCCTTCGCGTGCGCAGACGCAAAAGATGCCCTTTCCGAAGCGGTGTGAAAGTAGGTGCCACGTAGGTTTGTGGCTGGCAGAACCCAAGGTTCCTGCGCAACTCATCCATCCCATCCCATTCCGCTTGCCGCTGCCACGGATGAGAGAATTTGTCCTGCGAAACTCGTTTTCTGCTCTCGGTCTCCTCTCGAGTCTCATCTCTTGCTTTGCATCTGGACTGGGAAATTCAGACTGTGAGTGGACGTCGCCATTGTGACTGCTCGCTCGCACCATCCAGATTAGCATAAACGTCGCCCTTTCTTCCCTTTCCTTGCCTGTTATTTTCTCTCTTTTGTACTCTCCCTCGTCCATCGTTAGTCTCGTCAGTTTGCAATGGCGACCATTGTAAAGCACGCGTCTCGCGCAAATCTTGGACGGCCGTCGTCCAGCCGAGCGCGCCTCGGCGAATCTGGTAGCTCCTGTCAAGCCAGCCCCTTTAACGCACGCGGGGCAAGGACTCTTACCGACACCACCGCCGTAAGATTCGTTCAAGAATCGCTTCAAGTTCGCCAGACCGCGACAATCCGAAGGACAGCAGTCGGATCGGCTCGAGCCTCGGCGGTAACCAGTGCTGACGTGGAGGAATGGAGCAAGGCGGCGCGGCTGGTCCGGCAAGAGCAGCTGGAGGGTCAAGCTTTGGATGCGCTTCAGAAGACCATCGATTCATTCGAGCGCCCAACGTTTCCATGCGCGCTTATCGCGGGCGACGTGGTAAGCACCTCACTATCATCACAATTTTAATCAAATCAAAAATTATGAATGAAGCATACCAGGAGCTTCGTCCAATGCGTCAGCGCTGATTCGCCTATCGAGCACATGGTGCCCTATCGTTTTTCTTCATTTTTCCCATCCTAATGTGGCCTCTCATTCCATCCATCGATTTGTCCTCGTTTTAATGTTCCTCGTTGGCAGGTTATCCTCCACCTGCTGCACCGGCTCGGCGCGCTGGGCGACAATCCCAAGGTGAAGGTCGTGTTCATCGACACCTTCCACCTCTTCCCGGAGACGTACCAGTTCCTCAAGGACTGCGAGGTACGTTGCGGTGCAGTGTGACTGCGAGCGGTGTACCTCGGGGCAGAATGAATTGAGCGTAGCGTATGAGTCCTACCAGAACTCTGAACAAAGAGACGCCATGCACAATTTCAATCCCAAAGACCTACCAGTTCATGAATGGCTGCGTGGTACGTAACGCAATGCCTTCTATGAAGCAATGGCGAAAGTGTGAGTGTCTGGACGAACACCGTGCTGAGGAGTGAGGAGCCTTGAGGAACTCATGCGGGTCAACGTTCAGCCCGCCTCGCAACCCATCACAATCTCTCGGAGCTCCATGAGCCTTTTAAAGCTTTTTTTTTCTTACTAATAAGCCAATTGCCCTCTCCTTAAAGTTTATTCTCATAGGACGAATTGTTTCGACCAGCATGCGTTGCTGACCGAGCATCCTGTCCTGTTTTCTCTTGTTCGTCGCGGCGCAGGAGCGTTTTGGGTTCAAGGCGGAGGTGTTTCAAGCTGCGGGGCTTAACTCCAAGGAGGACTACGTCAAGAAACATGGCTCCGACCTCTTCATCCGGGTAAGCTGCAAACCGCCTCCATAGTTCTACACGTTATCTCGCATTCGTCATCCCTGAAACGAACCCCTCCAACCCATTGCGCACCCTCCTATTTCTCTTCTCCCCTACCCCATGCCTATCATGGTAAAGCACATTGGTAATATCACCCCTTTCCTCGATACTCCCATTTCCCCAATGCCTTCCTGCACCCCACCACCTGTCCACTCCCCTTTCCCCACCATCGTCCACCTGCCAGAACATAGACGAGTACGACCAGATCTGCAAGGTGTAGCCCTTCAGCCGTGCCGTGCTTACCTCCCCCACTTCCTCGCTCCCTCATCCCCCCACCTATCCACCTCATCCCCCCCCCCTATCCGCCTCATCCCCCCACCATCGTCCACCTGCCAGGACATAGACGAGTACGACCAGATCTGCAAGGTGGAGCCGTTCAGCCGCGCGCTGACGTCGCTCAACGTGGACGCTATGATCAACGGGCGCCGCAGAGACCATGGCGCTGAGAGGGCGCACCTGGAGGTGAGTCAGCTGTTTTTCGTTACATCTGGAGGTTAGTGAGAGGGTGCACCTGGCTGTAGCGCTGACGTCGCTCAACGTGGATGCCATGATCAACGGGCGCCGCAGAGACCGCGGCGCGGAGAGGGCTCACCTGGAGGTGAGCTTGCCTCCACCCTTTCCACGGTTGTTTTATGTTTGAGGTCGCACCTGGCAGTGATTTCTGTATTGCCACATGCAAGCAAGGTACGGGATGTCACATGCAAGGTACCGGATGTCACATGCCACACGCACGCCACATACCATATACCGTGTGGCATGCCACATGTTGCATGGTGCCATGACATACCATATGCATCATCCCATGTCACATGGAATGCCATGATCCATGCGGCGAAGGCCCATCATTTTCATGCCATGCCACCCTTCCTTTGCCTCTCCCCTTCCTTCACTGCCACATCTCACCGTACATCATCCCACCACTCAGCTATTTGAAGACGGCACACCAGTGAAGGTGCAGCCCCTCGCATACTGGGAATTCAGGTATGCTAGCTACTATGGGAGTTGCCGATGCTGTAATGTGATGCTGTGGGGTCATGGTCCCTCGGTTCCTGATGGTATGCCTGCTGTGAGGGGTGCTTGATGCTGTGATGTGATGGTATGGGCTGGCCGTGATGGGTTGCTAATGCTACAGGAATGCCATCCCCCTCCTTGCATGCCGACATCCCCACCCACCATTGACATGCACGCCATTCTGCCAGTCCTCCAATCCTCCTTCCAAAACCTCAACCCCACTCCTCTATGGCCCCCGCCTTGCCCCGCACACCACCAGGGACTGCTTCGACTACCTGGAGAGGCATGGGGTGCCAGCCCACCCTCTTCACGCCGACGGCTTCCGCTCCATTGGAGACATACAGACCAGACCACCCTACTAAACCACTCTTTCGTCCCCCACCCCTCTCCCCCACCAGGGACTGCTTTGATTACCTGGAGAGGCATGGGGTGCCAGCCCACCCTCTTCACGCGGATGGCTTCCCCTCCATTGGTGACATCCAGACCACCCTGCCCGTTCCGCGTGCCAAGTGGTTCGAGTACGGTGGAGAGCGGTCGGGGCGGTTCCAGGGGCTGAAGAACAGAGACGGGTCGGACAAGACAGAGTGTGGCATTCACGTGGAGGATGCTGTGGCCTCATCCCTCACTCCGCCTTCCTCCTCCCTCACACCACCTTCCTCCTCACTCACTCCTCCTTCCTCCTCACTCACTCCTCCTTCCTCCTCACTCACCCCGCCTTCCTCCTCCCTCACCCCCCCATGAATTTCCAGCCCGCCCTGCACTTGGTTTGCTGATTCATATGTCAATGCTGGATAGGATTGGATAGGGCGTGTCGTGTTTAGGGGGAGTTCATTTCAGCAAGAGGCATGATGGCTTGTTGATGATTTGTCTAGGTCCTGACATTTCATGACCCAAGGGCTCTGACAAAGAGTTGATGAGCAAAGATTGTACACCTACAATGGTTATATCTGCTGTAATGCTTTTTGAGACAAGAAAATAATGAAATTTGAATTTGCCACACAAATGGTTGAATCTACTGTACTAGGTTTTTGGTAACATTGCTATGCTAAGTTCTAACTGTGGGACTGCAGGAAGAAACAACACAAGACAAACTCCTGATCCAGACAAGAATGGTAAAATGTTGTTTGTAAGCATCTTATCAATGCCTTGTACTGTGCATATGATGCATTATGCGGGTGCATACCAATGCATAATGTGCAAATCATGACACATGATGTATGATGCGCAATGCATGACGCTCAGTGCACGATGTATGACACTCAGTGCATGATGCATGATGTATGATGCATGCCGCATGTTCAGCATCAGGCAACAGTGAGGGCGGCAAGCATAGCAAGCATGGCAGCATGCATGGCCATCCAGTAGAGCACGAGCAGCAGCCTCATCATGGGTCGTGCCATGAGTGACTGCCCTCCCGCCACACTGGTGCAAGAGGGGGGGTGGGTGGGGAGGAAGGAGAGCAAGACGAATGGGGAGGAAGAAAAAGAGATAAGAAGAAAGGTAGAAAGTGAAGCGAAAGAGTTGGGGTGGCAACAGGAGGGCAGCAGAAGGGAAGACGGCAGGAATCTCGGGGACGTGAATGCAACGCAGCATGCATGGCCATCCAGTAGAGCACGAGCAGCGGCGCATAATGGGCCGAGCCATCAGCGACTGCCCTCCCACCACACTGGGAAATGGAAAGAGTGGGGGGAGAGATGAAGACCAATGGAGTGGGAGATCTCAACTGTCTCCCAATGGAATGAAAGAAAGAAGCCAGTTGAGTGACGAGTGGAAGACGCAACAGGAGGCAGGAGCAGATGCAGCATTGAAGGCTGGAAGGAGCAGCAGGCACGTACCATAGGCGGTCGATGCCCTTGGCGGCTGGGTGCAGGAAGGACGGCAGGAAACGGAAGGCACTGACTATTGACTTGAACCCGTGCACTGTGGTGGGGGTGAGCGGGGAGGAGTGGGAAACATTTCGAAGTGAATGGAAGAGAGGCAGAGAGGCAGGTTCACCAGAGACGATGGGTTAGTCAATGAGTCAGCCATTGCAGGTACTGCAGGCATTGCAGGCATAGTGAAGAGATTATAGGGACAGATGAGCCTTCGTTGCAAACCCCCAAGCACATGCCTCTTGTCGTGCCAACTGTTGTTTCCCACTTTCCCACCTTCATCATCGGGGTACGAGTCAGAGATCTGCAGCGCCGTGTGGCCCGCCAGCGAGGCGGATGATGACGTTGCGAGCTGCTGCGCCAGCAGTGGCAGGTACTCTGCTGACGTGTCGGATGCACCTCCCCCGGGTGCTGCCTTCCTCTGCGTGGTGACTGGCAGGAGAGTGGAGGCTGATGCTGAGGCTAATTGTGAGGAAGAGGAGGAAGAGGGCAGAGGTGACTGGACTGCCTTGCGCTTCTGATGAGGGACAGGAGACGGGGTTGCATGGAAACACAGCGGAAAACAAGTTACAAGTAAAAGTTGAATTCACTTGTGGAGACTGGTACGAGAAGGTAGTAGTAGTAGTAGGAGGAGGAGGAGGAGGAGGAGGAGGAGGAGGAGGAGGAGGAGGAGGAGGAGGAGGAGGAGGAGGAGGAGGAGGAGGAGGAGGAGGAGGAGGAGGAGGAGGAGGAGGAGGAGGAGGAGGAGGAGGAGGAGGAGGAGGAGGAGGGTAGTGGTGAGGTGCCTGCCTTGTGCCTCTCATAAGGAATGGAGAAGGGGGTACAACGAAAGACTAGTAACACAAGAAGCAGCATTCATGTGCTCTCACCAGGTCATCTGCCTCCCTTCTTGCTGCCTCCAGTTGCCCCTCAAGCACCTTCACCGCCTCGCCCGCTGCTGCCACCTCATCGCGCAGCCTTGCCAGCTCAGCATCCTTCTCTGCCACGTCAGGAAGAGCAGCACCGCCTGCCTCAGACTTCTGCTGTTGTGGCGCCAAAGTGCCAGCTGCTGCACCACCAGCCATGCTTTCCCCCTCACCACCTTTCGTAACATCACTGCTAACGCCATTACCAGCACCAGCAACAGCACCAGTAGCAGCAGCACCACCATCAACTATCAGATCACCAGAGAAACCAGAAACAGCAGCGGTCAGGGCAGCAGTAGGGGCAGGAGCAGGAGCAGGAGCAGGAGCAGGAGCAGGAGCAGGAGCAGGAGCAGGAGCAGGAGCAGGAGCAGGAGCAGGAGCAGGAGCAGGAGCAGGAGCAGGAGCACTGCCACCGGCCATCCCTCCCAACTGAGCCTCAGCCAATCTTAGACGGTCCCACACCCCCTGCAGCTCCTTATCCTTCTCTCTCAGCCGCTCCTCCATCTCCCGGTCCTTCTCCTCCAGTCTCATCTCTGCCTCCTGCACCACTGCCTCCGACTGTGCTCATGGGACAGGGATGGGGTGAGGATGAACAGAAGAACAGCGACAGGACAGACAAAGAGGGAAAGGCTATAAGACGGACATTCAGCCTCTCTTCAATCTCCCGGTCCTTCTCCTCCAGTCTCATCTCTGCTTCCTGCACCACTGCCTCTGACTGTGCTTACGGGAAAGGGATGGGGTGAAAAGGAATGGATAATTAGGGATACGGGCAGGGAGGGTAGGGAGGGACAGAAATTCAGGGATAAGGCCACAGGCAATGAAATGGGTAATTATTCTCATTGCCCTTCTTAGGTTTAAGTAATAACCACAGTACTTATAAGCTGGAAAGAAAAACCTGCACCATTGGCTCCCGTGGGTCAACAGAACCTGTATTTCCTATCCCTCTCTACAACGTGCCCAAAAATAAATGAACACCACCAAGTTGGAGCAACCCAATTGCGTATAACCCACCTGTGCTTGCACCTCCTTGAGCTTATCAACCATCATCTTCAGCTTCTCCACTGCCTTGCTGCGTGCCGCCGCCACCGACGCCACTGCTGCCTCCTTCTCCCCCACCTCCCGCCTCAGCCTCTCTACCTCCCCATCCCTCTCCCCAACCTCGCTCTTCAACTTCGCAATCTCCCGTTCCTTCTCCCCAACTTGCTCTCTCAACTCCCCCATCATCGATTCCCTCTCCCCCACCTCCTGCCTCAGCCTCTCAAGGTCCCCATCCCTCTCCCCAACCTGCACTCTCAACTCCTCAATTATCAACTCCTTTTCTCGCACCTCCTTCACCAGTCTCTCCACCTCTCCTTCCTTCTCTTGCAAGGCTCGCTCCAATTCATTTACTCTCCACTCCTTCTCACCCTTAGCCACTTCATCCCTACTCACCTCCTCCCTCTCCTCCCTCTCCTCCCTCTCCCCCCTCTCCCCCCTCTCCCTCCACTCCCCCCTCTCCCTTCTCTCCCCCCTCTCCCCCCTCTCCCCCCTCTCCCCCCTCTCCCTTCTCATCTCTTCCATCTCGCCCCTCAAGACCTCAACCACTCTTTCCAGCTCACCTACCCTCCTCCCCCTCTCCTCACCTTCCTCCCTCGCACTCTCCGCTCTCCTCCTCTCTTCTTCCAATTCACCTCGCAACCGCTCTTCCTCCATCTGAGCACCCTCCTTCTCTGCTTCCAAACGAGAAACTTCCGCCATTAAACCAGTCCTTTCCCCTTCTAATCGCCCTTTTTCCCCTTCCAAACACTCCACTGCTTCCTGCAAGTCCCCCTTCTCTCCCTCCAGCCGACCAACAGCTGCCTGCAACCCATCCCTCTCTGCCTCCACCTCCTGAATCCGACCTCTCAGCACCGCAACCAGCTCCTCCAAACCCCGCTTCTCATCCTGCACCTGCCGCTCTGCTGCTACAAGAGCATCTCTTTCAACTGCCCACGCATCCCTCTGTGCTTCAAGCTCCAAGAGGGAAGTCCTCAGTTGGGATGCTTGGTCCCTTTGCTCTTTAGCCTCGTTACAAGCTCGTTCGTTATCTGCTCCAAGCTGTTCCTTTGTGACATTCCATTCCTCCCTTTCCTTTTCTAATTGCAACTGCAGCTCTGCTAATTCACCCTCCAATTTTGCCACTTTCACTTCCAGCTCCTTGGCTCTCTCTCGCTCCTCCCTCACTCTCTCTCCCTCCTCCCTCACTCTCTCTCCCTCCTCCCTCACTCTCTCCACCTCCTCCCTCACTCTCTCCTCTTTCTCCCTCAGTCTTTCCTCCTGCAATCTCACTCTCTCCCCCTCCTCCTTCACTCTCTTCTCCTCCTCCCTCACTCTCTCCTCCAGCTCCCTCACTCTCTCTCTCACAGCCACTGCATCAGCATCCTCCCCACTGCTTCCTGCTTCACCTTCATCCTTCCTCTCCTCATCACGACCAGCCGTTGCCAGCTCAGCACGGACACGTGCCAGCTCATCACGAGCACTTGCCAGCTCAGAACGTACACTATCCAGCTCAGCTTCTGCCACTCTCCTCGCCTCCCTCTCCTCATCCAACCCACCCTGCACTCCCACTAGATTCCTATCCGCTTCCTCTCTCCTCTCCCTCTCCTGCTCCAACTCCCTAGCCAAACCTGCCTTCTCATCCTCTAGTACACAAACTCTCTCTTCCCTCGCGCTTCTCTCAGTCTCCAGCTCTCGTATTCTCTCCTCTGCTACTTCCTTCTCGCCCTGTATCGCCACCAACCGCTCTTCAACCGTTGCAAGCTGGGACTGAACCTCCTTCAACTGCCCCTCTACCGCTCTCAACCACTCCTCTTTCTCCATCAACTGTGCCCGTGCGTCTCCAACCTCTTTCTCCCCCTCCCCCTCACTCGTCCTCGCTTTCTCCTCCTGCTCCCTCCTCCTCTCCTCTTCCACTCTCTTCACCTCTTCTTCCTCCCGCCTCCTCCTCTCCTCCTCCAGCTCCCCCTGCAACTCCCTCACTCTCTCCTCAAGTCCCACCAACGCCTTCCCCCTCTCCTCCCTCTCCTCTCTCGCCTCCTCCACTTCCCTCCTCATTCCCTCCACATCCCTGCCCCTCTCCTCAGCCACCCCCCTCCACTCGTTCAGTTCCTCCCTCACTCTCTCTAGCTCCAACCCCAATCCCCTCCCCTCCTCTCCCGACTTCCCCACTTCCTCTTCCAACTCCCTCACTCGCCTCTCCCTCTCCTCCCTCCCCTTCTCCACCTCCGCTTTCTCCCTCTCCAGCTCCTCAACTCTCCGCCTCGCTACAGCAAGATCCGTTTCAACTATAGCCAACATCTCTTCCACCTCCGCTATTTTCCCATTCTTAAACCCCTCCATCTCTTCACTCTCCCTCTTCACCTTCTCCAATCTCTCCTCTGCATCCGCCCTCTCCCTCCCACCCTCCTCCTCCAACCTATCCACTTCCCCCATCAGCCTAGCAACCTCCTCCTGAGCGCTGCTAAGAGACTTTCTTAGCTCAGTAAGTTCGTTACTTAGCTCCTCACACTCCTTCTCTCGCCCCGCAAGAGCATCTGTCACTCCTTCCATCATAGCCACTGTCTCTTTCAGCCTCTCCTCAGCCTTCCTCCTCGCCTCCTCCTCTTTCCTCTTCGCCTCCTCCTCTCTCTGCCTCGCCTCTACCTCTTTCCTCCTCGCCTCTTCTGCCTCAGCCAACAATCCTCTCAGCTCGTCTACCTGCTCCCCTGCTGCTACACCTCCGCCTGCCCCTGCGGCTGCTGCTACAGCTGCCCCTAGCCCTGTTCCTACCCCTGTCCCTGCGCCTGCCCCAGTGCTCGTCCTGAGAGCGTCAATCTCAGCCCTGGCAGCAGCGATGTCTGCTTCGAGCTTCAGCTTCTGCTGCTCGATTGCCTTGCCCTTGCGCACAGCCTTGCTTAGCTTCTCCCTCACCCCCGCCACCTGCTCCTGTGCCTGCTTCAGTGACTCCCTCACCCGCTCCCCCTCTGCTGCTGCCTCTGCTGCTGCCCCTGCTGCCGCCCCTGCTGCTCCTTCTCCCCCTGCTCCTGCCCCGCTCCGCTCCCCTTGCTTCAACTGAGACAGCTCCGTTTCAAGGAGAGAGACCTTGGCACGAAGCCCCTCTATCTCGGCCGCGTCCTCAACATTCGTTGCCTTCGCCTCTGCTCTTATCTCCCCTGCCCCACCCTCTCCTCCCTCTTCCCCCCCTCCTCGCCCTCTGCCCTCTCCCCCCTCCAGAAGCCGCTTCAGTCGATCAACCTCGGCTCTCGCGTCTGCAGCAGCCTGGGCCTCAACTGCAGCCTTCTGCTTCATGCCTTCGATCCTCTCCTTCGCCTTCTTCACCAGGCTCGCGTTCTTCGCCTCAGCTGCTGCCCTTGCGTCTTCAGCGACCTTCAGCAATGCTCCCTTCTGCTCTACGTCCCTAGTAAGTCGCACTACCTCCTCCTCCATCCGCTCCCTCTCCCCATCAGCTCCTGCACTTGCACTTACCTTTAAAACCTCCTGTTTCAGCCTACTAATCTCCTCGTCACGCCCTTTCAGCTCCTCTTCCAGCCTACTAGCCTGCTCCCTCAACCGGCAGGCCTCCTCTTTCAGCCTAGCGCCCTCCTCTCTCACCCTCTCATTCTCCTCACTCTTCTCCATCAGCTCTCCAAGCAACGAATCCATTTTCTCCAGAGCGGCCCTCCTCTCTTTCTCACTCTCTTCTAGCCTCTTCTCACACTCACTCACCTTTTTCTCTCCCTCCTCCACCTCCTCTCTATACCCCTCCAAAGCAGCCCTAAGCTTCTCCACCTCCTCCTCTGTTCTCACACTGTTCTCCCTCACTCTCTCCATCTCTCCCCCCATCTCCTCCCTAACCCTAACCACCTCCCCCTGAGCTTTCTCGAGCTCCACCCGAGCCTCCTCCAGCTCCCGAACCACCTCCTCAGCCTCGGCCACCCGAGCCTGCAGCTTCTCCAGCTGCGACTCCCGCATTCCCAGAACCTTCCTCAAAGCCGCTGCTTCCGCCTCAGCTTCCTCCTTCACCTTATCCCTCTCTCTCTCCGCCATCTCCCTTGCAGCAGCTGCCTCCACCGCAATAGCATCCTCTGCTGCCTTCGCCTCTGCATCTTGCGACGCACGCCAGATCATCTCTCGCGCCGAGATGTCTGATTTTAGGGATTCAAGCTCTGTCTCGCGCTGCTCTAGGGTTTCTTCCAGCTCCTCTGCTTGCTGTTGCAGGGCGGCCAGTTCAACTTGCTTTGCCTCGAGGGCGGCTTGGGCTGATTGAAGCTGCCTGGTTGCTTCCTCTGCGGCTGTCTCGCTGGCAACTACCTTTGCCTGGGGGGAAGGGAGACGAAAGAGTGCAAGGGACAATCGTCAACAGCTTTGAACGAATGGGGACATGGAGTGCCGAAACAACCGAAAGGTGAGAAAATGCAACGGGGTTACACAGAACAGAGGAACAGTAGAGATGGTTCTACAGTGGATGAGCAGATGAGCAGCAAAATAAGGAAACTGCCACACAAAAGGCTAAGAGCATCCAGCGTGCAGAGGACTCACGAGAGTGACCACGTCCTTCCGCTCTGCTGCCTGCACCTTCTGCTGCAGCTGCTCCACCTCCCCCTCCAGCCCCTGCACCTTACTCTGTAGCTGCCCCTTCTCCTCCTCCACCTCATCCATCTTGCCCTGCACCTGCTTCACTTCCTCCTCTAAACCCTCCACCCTCCTTTCCAGCTGCTCCTTCTCCTCTGTCAGCCCCGCCACTTGCTTCCTCTCCTCCTCCCTCCCCTCCGCCACAGCCTGCAACTCACTCACCATCTCCCCACACCGCCTCTCCTCCTCCTCCAAACTCCCTCTCAACTCCTCCACCTTCCGCCTCTCCGCTGCCACCTCTTCCTGCACCTGCTCCACTTCCTCCTCCAATCCCTCCAACCTCTTCCGAAGCTGCTCTCTCTCCTCTCTCAACCCGGCCACTTTCCTCCTCTCCGCCTCCACCTGTTCCTGTAACTGCCCCTCACTCTCCTCCACCCTACCCTGCTCCTCCTCCCACTTTTCTCTTTCCCCCTGCAGCCTCCCAAGCAAATCTTCTTTCTCCATCGCCCATCCCTTCGCCTTTCTCTCCCACTCACCTCTCTCGGTTGCCCAAGCATCCCTCTCCCTCTCCCACTCTCCCTTCAGCTCCAGAAATTCTCGCCCCTTAGCAACCAAAAGCCCCTCTATCTCAGCCTGCTTCTGCAGCAGCAACGCCTCTTCAGCCTTCCACTCAGCCCTCCATGCCTCAACCTCACTCTCACCACCCCTCCCCTCGCTCACCTCACTCTCTCTCCTCCTGGCTTCCTCCACTTGCAGCAACAGCTCACTCGATCTAGCTTCTTCCTCTTTCCTCCTTCTCTCAGCCTCCTCAACTCTTGCTTCAGCCTCCTTTTTCCGTTCCTCAGCCTCCTTTGCTCTCTCTTCCATCTCACTGAGCTCCTTCTGAAGCCCCTCCCCCTTCTCCCTCACCTCCTGCAACAGCCTCTCACTCTCCTGCAACGCTCTCTCACCCTCCCTCACTCTCTCCTCCACCTCCCCAACCCTCCCTTCCCACTCCTTCTCCCTCCCTCGCATCCCCTCCAGCTCCTGCCGAACCTCTTCCAACCGTGCCTCAGCTTCGGCAGTCAAACCTGCAAACTCCTGCTCCCGACCAGCAAACCTCGCCTGCCAACCCACGACTTCAGCTTTAAGCCCCTCCACTTGCTCCTCCCAGCCCTTAGCCTGTAAATTCATCTCATCCAGCTTCCCCTGTAAATCTTCCACTCTTGCTTCCAGCTCCCCCTGCTTCTCCACCACCTCTCCCTTCTCTCCTTCCACCCTCCTCTTAGCCTCTTCCGCCTCTTCCCTCATCGCCCTCTCATCCTCCACAGCACCCACCAGCGCCTCTTTCTGTGCTTGCAACGACTCCAACTCTCGAGTCAGCACACTCTCCCTCTCTCTCGCCCTTTCTCTCGCGTCTGCTTCTGAACCACCTGCCTTCTGCGCCTCCTGAACCTCCCCTCTCAGCGTCCCCACCATTTCCTCCAGCTGTCTCACTCTCTCCCTCTCCCCACTCAGGCTCACCTCTAACCCTGACACCGATCCCTCCTTCTCCTCTACCTCCCCCTTCGCTGCAGCAAGTTCTGTCTGCAAAGCAACCAACTGCCCCTCTGTCTCTGCAACCCTCTCCTGTAACTGATCCACCTCCTTAGACAAACACTCCGCCTTTTTCATAGCATCTTCCGCCTTACTCCTCTCCTCCTCTACCCTACCCTCCCACACCCCCACCTCCCTCTCCACTTCCCTCCTCCCCTCCTCCCTCCCCTCCTCAATCCTCCTCTCCATCTCCTCCGCAACCCTTCTCTCCAGTTCCCTCTCGCGCCTCTCCACCTCCCTCAACTCCTCTCCTCTCCTCGCCAGGAGCGCATCTCTCTCCGCCACCTGCCCTAGAAGCTCCACAGCACGCTCCCTCCCTTCCGCCGCTTGCCTTTTCACCTCAGCTACCTCCTCTTCCGCCACCCGCACCCTCTCTTCCGCCTCCCTCACCCTCTCCTCCATCTCCCTAACCCTCTCCCCGCCTTCCTCCGCCATCCCTGCCGCCTTCCCCTCAGCTGCAGCAACTGCTGCCTCCAACTCCTCCACCCTCTTCCTCCCTTCCTCCAATTCACCCTCCAGTTCACCCACCCTCCGTCTCCCCTCCGCCACTTCCCCTTCCTTCACCTCCACAGCCTTCAACGCGTCCCTCCTCCCCTCTCTCTCTCGCTCCAGCTCCTCCCTTAACCGTTCCAGCACAGCAGTCTCCTCCGCCAGAGTCCCTTTCAGCGCCTCCCGCTGCTGCACCACCTCCTTCCCCTTCCTAATCGCCACTCCCAGCTTATCCTTGGTCGCAGCTAGCTTCTCACCTGCACTCGCAGCCTCAAGCCTCGCCGCATCCGCCTCTGCCCGGAGCCTCTCTCTCTCCCTCTCCCCCTCCTCCACCCGAGCTAGCAGAACCCTGGATTCCTCCTCCTTGGCTGCTAAAGCGGCTGCGGATTCCCGCAGCTGCTGCTGCCACTGCTGCTCGTCGCCCTGCAGCTTGGCTCGGAGCCTCTCCTCCTCGTCTCGCGACCGAGCTAGCAGCTCCTGCAGCTGCACGAGCTCCTCCTCCAGCAGCTCCCGCAGCTCCCCACTTAGGTTCACCTGTTGAGTAGAGAGCAACAAAAAGGAAGGGTACGCAGGAAGGGGAATGCTGTTTGTTCTCCTTGCACCTTGGTCCTCTGTCTCTCCTCGTCTCAGGGCTGGGCGAGCAGCTCCTGCAGCTGCACCAGCTCCTCCTCTAGCAGCTCCCGCTGCTCCCCACTTAGGTTCACCTGTTGGGTACAGAGCAAGGAAACAAAAGTGTAAGCAGGAAGGGGAAGCTGTTTTTTTTATTTGCACCTTGGTCAGTTGACTCTCTTCCTTCTCTCTGGGCCGGGCTAGTAGCTCCTGCAGCTGCACCAGCTCCTCCTCTAGTAGCTCCCGCTGCTCACCACTTAGGTTCACCTGGTGGGTAGAGTACAGGGAACGGAGGAAAGGACGCAGACAGTGGGAGCAAACGAGATGAAACAGCTTAGACTGAAATTCCTTTCGCTAATCTCAAAAAAAAAAAAAAAAAACATCACATCACTTGGTGACCGTGACATGGTAAGGCAAGGGGGGCGAGGGGCAACACAGCCAGGGAGGAGGGCAACACAGCCAGGGAGGAGGGCAACACAGCCAGGGAGGAGGGCACGGAATTGACTCGAGTCACCAAGAGGCAGCCAATCAACCTGTTCTTAACTAGCGTACTTCGTACAAACCCAACCTTCCCCTGACGCCCCTCCCACACTCACCCTTCTCTCAACACCCTCAGAACCCTCAGCCCTGCACCCAGTTTCCAGGGCCGCTGCAATGTCACTCTTCCGCCGCCTTTGCACCTGCTCCCTTAACCTCTCCAGCTCCTTCTCAAGCCCAACCCTCTCCTCCCTCATCCTCTCACTCTCCTCCCTAAATTTCTCACACTCCTCCCTTAGTCTCTGTGTTTCTTCTCTCAAACCCTGCGTCTCCCTGGCTTGCTTCCCCCTCTCCTCCTGCAGAGCTGCTACTGTCTCCATCATCGTCTCATACTGCCCCCGAACCACTGCCAACTCCTCCGCAACCCTCACATTCCGCTCCCTCTCCCCCTCTATAACCACCTCCTTTTCAAGCAACTGGTCCGCCAACCGCCCCTTCTCCTCCTCTAACCCTTTCCATCGAGCCATGGCAGATGCCACCTGCCGTTTCAGCTGCTCCGCAGCTACTTCCATTTCCGCCTGCATTTTCGCCAGCCGTTCTGTCTCCGCACGTTTCTCTGCCTGCACCTGTGCGGCTACTCGCTCCATCACCTCCTCCCTATCCCTTTCCAGAAACACCAGCCGCTCCTCCTTTTCTTTAAGTAACTCTTTTAGTTCAGCAACCTCTGCTCCGTGCCGCTCTATCAAATCAACAAATCTGGCATCAGCGCTTCTAGATTTTCTACCCATATCCCCACCCGCGCCACCAGCAGCACCATACGCCGCAGCCTTAGATACAGCCTCCCCCGGATCCAGCCCAACTAGGCTCTTGAGCATCGCCAGCTCCTTTTCCAGAGCATGCACTCTACTGGCCTTCTTCCTGAGTTCTTCCCTCAACAGAACCTCCCCTCCACTGGTACTCCTCCACATCCCACTCAACCCAGCAGCACCACCACCACCTAAACCAGCAGCGCCCGAGCCAGCACCAGCAAAACTAGGGCCGCCTCTCTCCCTCTCCTCCATCACAACGGACAGCCGTCGCTTCAGCTCAACCACCTTCAGCTCCAGCCGCTCCACATACTTCTCCCGCGTGGTGGTTACCACCGACCCTCGCTCTGTCAGCGACCCATCATCACTCCCCGTCTCCAGGGAAAACCGTCTCACTCCAGCAGCAAACGCGCCGTCCAGAGCCCCGCTGGACGACCAAGGGACGGAGGAGGTGAGCGAGGAGGTGGAGGGGCTTCGGGAAAGAGGGGCGGTTGTTGACCGAGTGGAGTGGCTGGGGGAAGATGCATCCTGCTCTCTCTTGAGAGTCTCGTGCGTCTCATGCGGCTGTGCAGTGGATGGTCTCCGCAACCCCTCTGCTCCTCCCTGCCCTTGCGCTCCTGGCCCTGAAGCGCCCTGCCTGCCTGCTCCCTCTCCCTCTGCTCTCTGCTCTCTTTGCGCTTCCTCCCCTCGTGCTCCCTGCCCTTCAACGCCCAAGCCCTGCCATGCGAGTTGGAGTGAAGCATTGGCAGGGTGGGTGGCAGAGGCGTGTCAGTTGTCAGGCAGGTCTTTCAAAAGCGGCTGCCTGGCTGGCCCTTCTGTCTTCCAAAGCGCAACCCCCGTCTTTCCCCCCCCTCAACTTCTCCCTTCCCTCCTCTTCTCTTTTCTACCACCATCCCCCCTCCATCCTCGATCCTTGGGTTATCTAATGCCGTCCTAGACTTTACCTGGCTGCATCACCTTATCATCCCCTGCCGGTAAAAACTTAAACCCAACCCATCCCCACAACAAACTTCTCACCTTATTCAGGATGCCCTGGGCGATGGTGCGGAACTCCCGAGGCCCAGCAGCGAACGGACGCAGCACAAAGCCCCCCGAGGAGGAGTCGGAGCCGTAGCTGGTGGCGCTGGACGGCGTGTTGCCGCCTGTGGGCGTCATGAAATCGCCGTCCCCGCCGCCGCTGCTGCTGCTGATCGTCCTCCCCACGGCCGTTCCTGCTGAATCTGCCGACTCTGCCGTCACTGCGGATGCTGCCGACACCATGGAGGTTGCAGACTCGCCTGTGGATTCTCTAGGCTGGCTTTGGAGCGAATCCCGGGATTGGATTGGCATGGGTTTTCTTGATTGGGCGGTGGTGGATCCTCGGGGTTGGATCTGCACGCTCAGGCCCAGCTGGGGGAGGTCGCTTGTGCTGCTTGAAGCCGGGCCTTGGGATTGCCGTGCCGCGCTCTGATTGGACGAGCCCTGCGGAGTCGTGGGAGCCGTTGATGGCATCTTGACCTGTGAGATGGACGGCGGTAGAGAGGAGCAAGGAGGACGCCGTTCAAGCTAGCTTTTCAAGAGGGGAGACTGACGTTTTTCGAGCAGCAAGAACGTACAAAAATTGAATGAAATTTTTGGAAAGCGAGCTTTGTGGTAAGGCAAACAAGGTCGACAAAAACATGGACGAGGATGTCAAACGATCAACCAGAAGAAGAATAATTTAGACGCGATAAACTGTTCAAATCGTCTGGAAATAGATAGGAAAGAAGGATGTGGAGACCATCGTGAGCACCTTGTCTTGCTGTCCTCCTTTAGAGCTTCCTCCAGATTTCGCTTGTTGCTTCTTCCGATACTCCTCAAGCTGGTCGTACAATAACAATGGCAAGCACGGCTCGATGTGAATACACGAGCAAAAATTCCATTCCGTAAGGTTTCAGGAAGCATTTAGATACGGCGAAACGGAGGCAATGGGAATTGATGTAATAACGAGCTTTAAAGCATTGTGATTCCGAAAGTCTCATTACCCGCTTCTTCCCGGCGGTCATGAGCTCCCTCCGATCCATCCTTAGCCGACCACCATGTCACACCATTGCACCATAAAAATCGGTGAATTTGATTGACAGGGACGAATTATATGCACAGCGAAGTGCACTATCCAATCAGGTTAGACGAATTCAAGTACTAAATAAGCCGCTCGTTTCCTCACACGTAGCGTAGCATGCCATCAGTGGCAACTAGGCTGATACTGATCTGGTGCTTTCACCCGTAGGACAGCACAACCCATTGAGCGAGAGCACCTGGATCCCTGCTACGCTTCAGGCAACGGAGCTGGTAGCATTGGTGTTCTCTCCTGAGGCACCTCGAGATTGTTTTTTGCTGTGGAGGGACGAAATGGCGGATCTCGCCTGGTTACGTCCGTTGCGTCAGCCCAGGCAATCAAAAGCTGGACGATAGATTTTGTAGCTCGCGAAACGAGTCTGCAAGGAACTTGTGGTGGCCGTAACGAATGGCGACAATGTCGCGAAATCCACTGACCAGTCCTGCGCTGACGGTAACTTTCGCGCCTTCAGTTGTCAGATCCGCTGGCTGAAACAATGCATTCAGTAGGGATCCTTTCACGTACGATACAGTATCGTTTTGCGGTGTACGTCTGGTAGAAAATGAAAATTCATCATTTTCCAAATTGTTCACCCACATTCAGACCCAACATACCTGAATTGTTTTCTTGATAGCAAATTTGACCCGCGCGCCGCGCGGAAATGGCGGACGCTGAAGGCCCTCCAGACGAGGCGATGCGTGACCCCGCCTCGTCTTATCAGGCTACGAAACTTCCGCGAACCATTCTTCTGGACATATTCCAACGCCTTCCAGCTGAAGGGCCTGGCGGAATAATCTGCGCCATGCTCACGTGCAGGTGCGTTTCCCCGGGCCGATTTTCCCCCACATGTTCCCCGTAGGCGCATTTTTTCCCCTCTACCCTCCGCTTCCCCCTATCGTCCCTGCCTTCCCCCCACTTGCTCCCTCTCCTAGGCCCCCTTGCGCAAATCGCCCACTTGTCCCTGACTCCCGCTTGCGCCTCTTCTCTGTCTTCCCCCCGTTCCGCCAATTCCGCCTTCCGCAGAGACTGGCGGGATGCGGTGGTGGCGGAGGAGCGGGATGGAGGGGGCGCAGGGGGAGAGGCGTTCTGGCGGAAGGTGTTTGAGCGGTCGTTTGGGGAAAGGGCTGCCTACTGGAGCAGGGCGGAACAACCGCGGGGGGAGGGAGAGGTGGAAGGGGAAGGGGGGCGAGGAGGGGAGGGCGGAGTTGGAGGGGGGTGGGGAAGGGGAGTGAGGGAGAGTGGTGTGTGGAAGAGGAGGTATAGAGAGAGAGTGGAGGCGGGGAGGAATTGGAGAGTGGGGAAGTGTGACATTAGGGGGATTCATGGAGGGAGAGGCGAGGTGTGGGGATGGGGGGGGAATGGGAAGGCAGGGAGGAAGGCCGAAAACCGGAGAGCTTCAGCAGCAGCAATTGTCATGCCAGAAGCTGCGGCAACATCAGTGGCAGCACCAGCGGCAAGAGCAGCAGCAGCAGCACCACCACCAGCAGCAGCAGCATCAGAATCAGCAGCAGCTGTCACGGTCTCAGTGATGAAAGTGGACGACACGCTTCTCCTCCTGGGCACCTCTCACGGCCACCTGCAGGTGTGGCACCTCCCCTCCCACTCCCTCCTCGCCTCCCTCCACCACCCCCTCCCCATCCCCCTCCCCCTCACCTGCCTCACTCTCTCCCAAAGCCTCGGGGACGCCCCAGAGGGACCGAATTCAGGTTCTCGTGCTACTACTGGGTGTGCTTGTAACGAGGGCGGCCGGTGTGCTTGTAACGAGGATGGGTGGAGGCTAGTGGCGAGTGCGGCAGAGTACGGGTCGGTGTGCGTGTGGAGCCTGCCCCGCTGGCCCACAAGGGGTGGGGCATCGCCCCAAGCGAGTAGGTTACAAGCAAGCTCAAAAGCTAGAGAGGCAGGGAAAGAAGCATCAGTAGCAATGTCATGCGCTATACAAGCAAGGTCACGAGAGGCAGAGGGAGGGGAAGCTGAGGCACGGCTGGAAAGAAGCGCAGCAGAGCCCCGTGAATTCGGAGGCACATGTGTTGTTGTCGTGCCCTCCCTGTCCCCCTGCTGCTCGATCTGGTTCGTGGAGGGAAGGATGGGAGAGCAGCAGCTGTGGGAGGACCTTGAGAGAGTGCGCGGGGGCGAGGGGGGTGTGGGGAGAAGTGAGGGGGAGGAGGGCGAGGAGGGGGAGGAAGAGCAGGTGGGATGGCGGCCTAGGAAGGGCAAGAGAGGGCCACGGGAGTGGTGGGAGGGTGGGGGGCTGAGGGGCAGAGAAGCAACAACTCACGCCCGCCGGTCCAAGGGAGTGATGGCAAGCCCTTGCGCATTCATCAGGAGAGACGTCACGGAGGCTCGCCCTTGTAAGGGAGGCATGGCATACGGGCGGCCTGCGTGTAATGAGTTGACTCAAAGCTCGACGGAGGCTCGCCCGTGTAAGGGAGGCATGGCATACGGGCCGCCTGGGTATCTGCTGGTGGAGGAGCGCAGTGGCATGAGCGACGGTGACCGCACCATGCGGCTTTGGGACTTGGGCTCTCAAGCTTGCCAGTCAACGCACAGTCAACAGCAGTCAACGCACGGTCAACAGCAGTCAACAGGGACATCACAGCACAGCACAGCATGGGCTAGTATGCAGTGTGTGTACGATCGTGCTTTGGCCTTCGATCCATGGACGGGCGTGGTTGCTGCTGTAGTGCCTCACACTCACCCCCCTGCTGAGCGTGGCATTGGCAGTGAGGAACCCACAGAGTCACCCTTTGCGAATCTGGACACTCCAACGATCATTGGGACGATACCTGTGTGGGCAGCAGAGATGAGGCGCATGGAGGAGCAGCGTCAGGGAATACTGAACAACACTGCTCGAGCTGCTGAGGGTTCACAGGCTGCTGAGGGTTCACAGTCTGCTGAGGGTTCACAGGCTGCTGAGGGTTCACAGGCTGCTGAGGGTTCACAGGCTGCTGAGGGTTCACAGGCTGCTGAGGGTTCACAGGCTGCTGAGGGTTCACAGGCTGCTGAGGGTTCACAGGCTGCTGAAGATTTTGAATCTGCTGAGGATCTTGAGGCGTCAGGCAAGAGAGTGTGCCGCTGCCCATGCATCATTCGTTTGCAGCACATTCTCTCCGGTCACACTCTTGTGGACATTTATCATCGCTGTCTACTTGAGGATCCTGTCTCAGATGTCGCCTTCAGCCACTCAGAACGGCATGGCTGGCGGCTGCTGATTGGCACGACTCAGGGGCTGATCGTTGTTTATGACTTGGACAGAGGAGTGGCGGGAAGAGGGGAAGGTGGAGGCGGAAGGAGGAGAGGAGCAAGGGAGGGAGGAGGAGGAAGTGGAGTAGGAATGAAGGGAGGAGGAGAGAGCATCGGACAGCCGTCGATTTCGTTGAGAATCGATCTGTGGGAGGAGATGCAGCAATTCTCCCTCAACGAACGGATTTTCTGCCTCACTGTATGCATCTGCTGTTCATGTCTCCTGTCCATGCCTCCTGTTCTTATCCACTGTTCATCTGTACTGTTCATGTCTACTGCTCATGTCTTTCCATGCCTTTGTACTACAAGGTACTGTTTTCTGAGAATTCTCAGAAATCCTATGCTCTACGAGACATGGAAGTTCGGTGGTGAGATAAAAGTTGAACTGAAACTGTAGAGATACAAGACATAGCGCAGGGTGGGTTGAAACTTCACCTACAACTAGGTTGTGTTCGGTTCATGACTCCACCAGAAAATGAACAACTACTGAACTTGAAGTAGAACTTACTGTAGACGTCTTAGACACATTAACCTCTCTTCAAGTAGCGCTATCAAACAAGCATCACGCCATGTGGTGGCTAGCTACTATCCTATGCTATTCTATGGCGCTTGAGGCTGCTCCGTACTTGTTAAGACTCCCCTCCACTCCACTCCACTCCACTCCACTCCACTCCACTCCACTCCACTCCACTTCACTCCACTCCACTCCACCACCCCACTCCACTCCACTCCACCAAACTGCACTAGACCTTTCCCTCACGACTCTCACCTTGTCACTCTTATGTTCACTGTCATCATCGTTTCCACTGTCACCGTCCCTCCTCATCTCCCCAGACTGTGACCGACACTCACCATGACATCCCCGAGGGCATCTTTGCGCGGGTGTGGGACGTGGATGCTTCTAATCAAGCCGCCCTCCTCCCCCAGGTGCGCCCTCCTCCCCCAGGTGCGCCCTCCTCCCCCAGGTGCGCCCTCCTCCCCCAGGTGCGCCCTCCTCCCCCAGGCGCGCCCTCCTCCCCCAGGCGCGCCCTCCTTCCCCAGGTGCGTCCCTTGCAGAACTTTTCAACACTTCATGCCTACATCATTCCCGCTCTCCATTGCATATCACTTTCATACCTCCATTGTTGTGTGCTTTCCTGCTTGCTTGCACTCCTACAGTCTTCTCCCTTCCCCCAACAATTCCTCCAGGGCCCTTCCTCGTTCACTGAGGTGCCACACAAGATTCCTCCGCAGCCCTGCGTCACCCCCTCCTTTGCCACTGCTCTCTTGCCTGCACTCCCAAATCGTTCCCTGCCTCCCTCCCACCCCTTGCTCCTCCAGAACCATCCTCCATTCACCGAGGTGCTTCATTTTGACTCTCAGCAGCCCTGCATCGCCCCCTCCTCTGCCACGGCTGTGGTGCTGAGAGCCGATGGGGCCATCGCCCTCTGGACTGCCTCTCAATGCGCCCACAACATCGTTACACCCCACAGCGTTACATCTCATGGCGTTACATCTGATGCCGTTTCATGTCACGCGGTTTCATCTGAGACGGTTACAGCTCCGTCGCCCTCCAACCAAGTAGCGCAACGACGAGCCTGGTGCCAAGGCCCCATAACTACCATTCACCCCCCACAGCAGTCCCAGCAAGACCTGGTGTATCTGCCTCACCCTCCTGTCATGTATCCTCTCTCAACCACTGCCTCTTCTGCCACTGCTGCTAGTGATGAAATTGGTGACAATGCTGGCAGCAGTGGTGGTGATGACTGTAAGGGTGATAGTAATAATAACCGGGACAGGGGCAGTAGCGAGTGTGTGGTTGCAGACAGCAACTGGAGATGGCTGGTAGTGGCAGGAGGGGCTATAGCTGAGGTTTATGATTTTCTGGTGGGATAAGGCCTTGCCTTATGTCACTTAGAGTACATCTGAGTACCGTATGTGGGTGACGGAATCTCTAGCTTTTGTCATTTCATCTCACATGGAAGTGGTTTCCTGGCATGCTTACTAGGTTCTTGCGTAATGAGCTCGTCATAAAGGGTATGCTCTATTCAACGCAACTTGTACATAGATCTTGTAGCACCTACTGTACATACCGTACCTGAGATAGTGTAACGTTGGTAACCCATTCACAAAAAATCCGTTTAGTAATATGGTCTATGCATTACTAATCCACACAGAAAGTGGTGTAGATGCATGTCCAACGATCTGAAGCAACACTTCGAGGGGAAGCAACCACAGGTACCTGAACCAGGGAACCATATACAACAGAAAATAGAGAAACAAGGAACACACAAAAACTAGCATATCTGAATCACAGCAGAATGTATACTTGCAATCAATGCAGTATGAACAGTTGCTGAAGCATGAATAATGATACGGTACATAGCTGAAAGGCCTGGCAATGCCACGGACCTGGGAAAAGAAGCACCCTCACCTGCTGTCTGACTCTGCCTGGTTGCTGTGGCTGCTATGGCTGTCAGCAGCAGCACCGTAATCGTACTGCCCGGTACCGTAATGACCCATCAGCAACAGCTGGATCACCTCCTGTGCCCCAACAACCAACACACGCTCACCTGCTGTCAGACTGTGCCTGGCTGCTGTGGCTGTCGGTCGCAGTGTAATCCCACTGCTCAGTAGAGTAGTGCCCCAGCAACAGCAGCCGTACCACCTCCTGCAGTCCAGATTGGTTGATGAGGAGTGCGGATGGGTGCAGAGGTGTGCGCCAGGGTAAATACAGTAAGATGTTTCGATGGACGACGGGGAAAGCGTGGACTAACGAATTGGACTAAAGAACAGACGAATGGGGACCGTATCACGCTGAATGTGCACTCCTGACGGGCATACATAGCCTTCAAACTTTGTAACTTCACTCCTGACAGCAGCAACGCTGGGACGTCTCATAGCACGGAACCGCACTCACCTTGAAGCGTTTGGGATAGAGGCGGTGAGAGGCAGGTGACCAGGCTCCCATGCGAGGATACTGTAGCAAAGGGGTTCCATGGCGTGTGGGGGGGGGGGGGGGGGGGGATGGGGGGGTTGTGTGCAAAGATATAGAGACGGATTTTCACACAAGGTGGTGAAGGAACCTTATGAAGGAGAGACAGATCCCTCATTCAGAAGGCACCTCCCCTTTCCTGGCGTCAGCTCACCTGGGCACCAGTGGTCGACTTTGAGGCGCCTCCAAAGCCAGCTGACCTGGGCAACAGCGGTCGACTTTTGAGCTGATTCCCATCAAAGGGGAGGCGCCTCAAGAATCAGCGCACCTGGAAGACAGTGGTTTCTGTCGACACGAGCAACGGGGTGGTGGTAAGCTGCGAGCCCCACCACCTTGCTGACAGGCAGCAGGTTGCACTCTCCAGTGCATCGAAACATGCTCACTCAAGGCATCCCAGCAACAGTCATGCTCACCTGGAAGACAGTGGTTTCTGTCGACACGAGCACTCCCGGATGATGGTAAGCCTGCGAGCCCCACCACGTCGCGGACAGATGGCTGGTTGCATTCACACCACTTCACAGCACATCAAGGCACACCACTTCACAGCACATCAAGGCACACCACTTCACAGCACATCAAGGCACACCACTTCACAGCACATCAAGGCACACCACTTCACAGCACATCAAGGCACACCACTTCACAGCACATCAAGGCACACCACTTCACAGCACATCAAGGCACACCACTTCACAGCACATCAAGGCACACCACTTCACAGCACATCAAGGCACACCACTTCACAGCACATCAAGGCACACCACTTCACAGCACATCAAGGCACACCACTTCACAGCACATCAAGGCACACCACTTCACAGCGTTCCAGCAGCAATCAGAATTCACCTGGAAGACAGTGGTTTCAGTCGAGACAAGAACTCCAGGGTGGTGGTAAGCCGCCAGCCCCACCACGTCGCTGACGGGCGGCTGGTTGCGGCGATGCAACAGCTGCTCCAACTGGTGCAGACGTCGCCTCAGCTGGTCCTGTGCTGCGTCCACCATGCCGCCCACCACTCCCCCCACTGTCGCACGAGCAGCCACAGCAGCACCAGCAGCACGGCCAGCACCATCAGCAGCACGAGCGGCACCATCAGCAGCGGAAACAGCCCCAGCGAGGGCGGCTGCAGCACCAGCAGCGGCGGAAGCAGCACCAGCGGCAGCACGACCACCACCAGCAGGAGCAGCACCAGCACCAGCAGCAGCAGCACGAGCAGCGGCGGCAGTAGCAGCATCAGCAGAATTAGCAGCACGAGCAGCAGCAGTGGTCGCGTCAGCAGCATCGGCAGCACGAGCAGCAGCGGCAGCAGCAGCATGAGGCACAGCGGTGGGGGGAAGACCCTCGAGAGCCACTACCCAACGGCCATCCTCCCTTGCGTCCTCCCTCTGCTGCCTCTGCTCCTCTGCTTCTGATGACGGCTGGCGGTGCTGCATACGAGAGACATAAGGAGAGGGAGTCGATTGTAAGAGATGGAGGACAGAGAGGAGAGAAATATGAGACAGGACGATGAGAGACAGAGGGAGAGGAGAGAGCGGAAAAGGCGGAGAGAGGGTACTCACCACTTGGATCTGCTGCCTGGCATGGGGTGCTCGCACGTCCACAGCGTGCACCGCACTGCACCGCTCTACAACCAGCAGGAGGTGCGGGTTGAAGCAGTCAAATTGCAGGGCGAGCGGGGGCGACAGGAAGGCCTGCTCTAGCTTCACCAGTGGGGTCAACTGCACTGATGCTGCTGCTGCTGCTGCTGCTGCTGAAGCTGTAGGTACTGCCGGTGCTGCTGGCGCTTCTGAAGCTGTGGGTACTGATGCTGCTGCTGTTGCTGATGGTAACTGCTGTGCGGCTGCGGCGGCTGCTGCTGCTGCTGCTGCTGCTGCTGCTGCTCTGGTGAATGGCCGGGCTTTAGATGGTGACGGTTCTGCTGCTCCGGAAGCACGAGGTTGGGAGGTACGGGACACGCCCCACACGTACACGGCTTGAAGCGAGTCGCTGGAGACTGCTAGTAACGAGGATGAGGGGTTCCAGGCGAGGTACTGAGAGGGGTGAGAAGAGGGCGTTTGGATGGAGGAGAGAGGGAGTGATACAGAGAGAGAGAGGGAGAGAGAGAGAGAGAGAGAGAGAGAGAGAGAGAGAGAGAGAGAGAGAGAGAGAGAGAGAGAGAGAGAGAGAGAGAGAGAGAGAGAGAGAGAGAGAGAGAGAGAGTGAATGAATGCAGTAACAAAATAGGCTAGAAAGTTAGAAAACAAACAAAAGAAACGAACAGAGCCTGAACATGAACCAGACTCATCAATGAGATGCGGCATGACTGTACTCGTTATAAGCTGACCTGGCACCCGTGAGCGGCGCCCCTGGTGCTCCTAGAGGCCACTGGAATCCGCCTGCTGGCCATGCCACTCACTCTGAACCCACATGCTCGGTCCAGCACACACACCTGCAGAAAGGGGGGAGGATGGGCAGAGAGATGGGAGACAAGCATTGGGATCTCACACACCTGCAGAGAACACTTTTGAGGCGCCTCAAAAAAACACTTTTGACTTTTGAGGCGCCTCAAAAAAACACTTTTGACTTTTGAGGCGCCTCAGAAGAGGGGCAGAGAGATGGGAGACAAGCATTGGGATCTAACACACCTGCAGAGAACACTTTTGAGGCGCCTAAAAAAAACACCTTTGACTTTTGAGGCGCCTCAAAAAAACACTTTTGACTTTTGAGGCGCCTCAGAAGAGGGGCAGAGAGATGGGGGACAAGCATTGGGATCTCACACACCTGCAGAGAACAGGAGGCTCCGAGAGGTCTCAAGAGGTTTGCAAGAAAAAAAAATCAAGAAGTTTGAAGAGACTCTTGCAGTCGCCTCACGAAATGACTCATTGCATGACGACTGTAGCCAATCTCTAGAAGTTTCGAGAGGTTTTCGGGGCGCCAAAAAAGGAGAAGCACTCACAGCCGCAAGGTCCCCAACGACGGCGATCCACTCCCCATCTGGCGAGACAACGGCTAAGTTGAGCGGCATGGGGAAGGGACGTGTATGGCACTTGCCTCTAGGCGCTTCAGAATAGGGAGGGGGACGGAGGGGCGCTTACAGCAGCAAGGTCCCCGACAACAGCGATCCACTCCCCGTTTGGAGAGACAAGAGCGAAGTTGAGTGGCATGGGGAAGGGGCCGATGGCGTTGACGAGGCGAGCAGACGTGCGCACCAACCCGCCTGCTGGGGCTGACCGGATTGTTACCGACGCTGATGTGCTGGGGGAACGGGGGAGGGGTTGGGAGGGTTTGGGAGGATTAAGCAATGTGGGACGGGCAGTCCACCAGGAAATGATGAGGCAAGGACAAGGGGCCATTGAGAAACGGGCATACCCACTCACGCCACGCCCACTCACACAATGCTTACTCAATACCTCTCTCCCCACTCACTGCCTCTCCTTTCCCCTAACCACGCCTGTCTGCCAACTCACGCCATGCTTACTCACTACCTCCCCACTCACGGCATGTCAACGGTGGTGAGGTCTCGCAGGTTGAGCTTCACATTCAGAGGCACCGACCCCGCAGGGTAGTGTGCCGGCACTGCTGCTGCTGCCGCTGCCGACGCCACCGCAGCAGCCGTGGCTGATGCTGCTCTGCCTTCACTCCTCTCTGCAGCACTCATGCTCAAATCCAGCCCTGCACTGCCCCCACCGTAAGCCGTGGCAGCGGCTGTAGCAGGAGCAGCGATTGTAGCAGCGGCAGTGGCTGTAACAGCAGGAAATGAAGCATCAACAGCAGCAGCCGCACGCCTCGTTCTTTCCCCCACCTCCTTCCCAGGCTCGCCGCTCTCCGAACCTTCTTGGGAGGTTCGGCACCGAGACTCCAGGGCCATCTGCCGAGCGTCTTCGAGGCTCTGGGCGCTAAACACCCAATCAGATTGGCCCACATGTCGCGATGTGGCTGGCTGGAAGGGCGGCGGCAGCGTGAAGACGTAGAGGTAGCCGTTCTGATGGGCCACTAGCATGCGCACCTGAAGGCTCAAACAAATAAAAGGGGAAAGGACATAAGATACGCCTTGAAAGAAAGAAAGAAAAAAAGGAGGAGGAGAAGGAGGAGGAGGAGGAGGAGGAGGAGGAGGAGGAGGAGGAGGAGGAGGAGGAGGAGGAGGAGGAGGAGGAGGAGGAGGAGGAGGAGGAGGAGGAGGAGGAGGAGGAGGAGGAGGAGGAGGAGGAGGAGGAGGAGGAGGAGGAGGAGGAGGAGGAGGAGGAGGAGGAGGAGGAGGAGGAGGAGGAGGAGGAGGAGGAGGAGGAGGAGAAGAAGAAGAAGAAGAAGAAGAAGAAGAAGAAGAAGAAGAAGAAGAAGAAGAAGAAGAAGAAGAAGAAGAAGAAGAAGAAGAAGAAGAAGAAGAAGAAGAAGAAGAAGAAGAAGAAGAAGAAGAAGAAGAAGAAGAAGAAGAAGAAGAAGAAGAAGAAAAGATTGCTCTCAAAGGCCTCCTCACCCCCCTGGCCCTGGATTCTCATGGAGCCCTTCCTTTATCCTTCCCCACACCCTCTTCCCCCCCACATACTTGTTCCCCCTGACCCCCTTCCCCCCACGCACCCAGTTGCCAATGGTGCCGAAGGGCACAGGGTTACACATAGAGGAGGCAATCAGACTGCTCTCGAACCCCCCCACCACTATCCCTGCCCTTGCTTCCCTCCCACCAGCCCCCTCACCTATGCTCCCCCGAGATCCAACCATCCCCCCCACCCACGCACCCAGTTACCAACTGTGCCGAACCGCACAGAGTTACACATAGAGGAGCCAATCAGACTGCTCTCGAACCCCCCCACCATCCCTGCCGCCTCAAACCACACCCTCTCCTCCTCCTCCTCCTCCTCCTCTGCTGCTGCTGCCCCTGCTGCGCCCTTGACGCCGCTCTGCTGCTGCTGTGGTTGGTAGTGGTGGTGATGGTGGTGGGCGGGGTGGGATGCGGTGGTGAGCTCTGGAGCGCCGTCCTTGGTCCAACCAGCTGTGGGGGGGAAGGGGGGAAAGGATGGAGGACGAATGATGGCTGAAGTGTTCAAATAAAAAAATCAATGAGCCCCCCAAACCCCCTCCCCCCCCCCTCTCCCCACCAAAAACAAAACTGCTGGACAAGCCCACAAACCTGTACCCTGCGCACACGGTGGGTGCCGTAGCACCCTGTGCACACGGTGGGTGCCGTAGCACCCTGTGCACACGGTGGGTGCCGTAGCACCCTGTGCACACGGTGGGTGCCGTAGCACCCTGTGCACACGGTGGGTGCCGTAGCACCCTGTGCACACGGTGGGTGCCGTAGCACCCTGCCACAACGCTGTAGGGCTCCGAGGGCAGCGACGCCCGAGGATGGTGGCGTTGGGCGGCAGCGATACACCGCCACCATCCTCTGCTGTGAGGCGACTGGGTGCACGTACCTGTCTTTTTTACCAGCTTCCTGCAGATGAGGTAGAGGCACACGGTGGGTGCCGTAGCACCCTGTGCACACGGTGGGTGCCGTAGCACCCTGCCACAACGACATCCCCAAATCTGTCAACGCTGTAGGGCTCCAGTTTTGAGTCGACTCAAAAGTAGGGCTCCGAGGGCAGCGACGTCACCGCCACCACTTCCCTCTGTGCCGCGCCGTGCTGTAGAGCGTGACCATGCGCTGCACCGTGAGTCGAGTTTTGAGTCGACTCAAAACTCGACTCATTACACGCCATGCTGTAGAGCGTGACCATTGTGCTGCACCTTGCATATCATCTCACCTCCCAGGTGAATGAACAGGGCGACGACACAAAACGCACCTGTTTACTGTTAACAAAACGCACCTGTTTTCTTCACCACCTCCCGCCGAATGAGGTAGAAGCAGACAGTCCCATAGCACCCCGCAACCACCACATCTCCAAAACGGTCAACGCTGTAAGGCTCTGAAGGCAGCGACGTCACCGCCACCACCTCCCGCCGCGCCGTGCTGTAGAGCGTGACCATGCGCTGCACCGTGCATATGATCTCTTGGGAAAACGGTGGGGTCGGTGGGGGGGCGGCGGAGGAGGAAGGGGCGGAGGAAGGAGAGTGGGAGTGTGATGCTGATGCTGGTGCTGGTGCTGCATCGTCCCGGGCAGAGCTTTGTGCGGCATATTCAGAGGCCACAGGGCCGGGGCCTGCCACGAGAGTGTCGCAGCACCTGGGGGCGAGGTAGAGCAAGCAGGCACGGAAGACAAGGGGTGATTGCGGAGGGTGAAAAGGGGTTCAGAACGGCAGAAATTACACATGCGGAGGCCACAGGGCCGGGGCCTGCCACTAAAGCGTCGCAGCACCTGCGGAACGCAAGGGAAGGGGAAGAGTCGAAGATGGGGAGGATGAGGGAGGAGGGAATGGGGAGGATGAGGGATGGGAGGATGGGGAGGATGAGGGAGGAGGGGATGGGGAGGATGAGGGAGGAGGGGATGGGGAGGATGAGGGATGGGAGGATGGGGAGGATGAGGGAGGAGGGGATGGGGAGGATGAGGGATGGGAGGATGGGAGGATGGATGATTCGAGGAAAGTAGGGACCGGGGGGGGCTGCCTATAGGCCAGACTGCAACATGCACGAGCAGGAGCGAGCAGGAGCGAGCAGGAGCGAGCAGGAGCGAGCAGGAGCGAGCAGGAGCGAGCAGAAGCAAGCAGGAGCGAGCAGAAGCAAGCAGGAGCGAGCAGAAGCAAGCAGGAGCGAGCAGAAGCAAGCAGGAGCGAGCAGGAGCGAGCAGGAGCAAGCAGCAAGCCACGGATAGATAGTAGTGGGAGCGTGGGATGACGATCCCACTGCTGCTAACTAAGGTCAGAGGCATACTGGGGGAGGTGAGGTCAGGGATCAGGAGCTTACTGCTGCTAGTCGGGGTTAGGGGCTTACTGGTGGTGGCACACCCCCGAGGGCAGGCGGTATGTGGAGCAGGTGTTATCCAAAAGGTACTTTGCCTCCTCGTGCACCTCCGCGCCCTTCACCGCGCCCCAGTCGTCTAGCGGAGTTGCTGCTATCGCGGACGCAACCCTCAGAACCGACCTCCTCCGCTCGTTATAGTGCGGGTCCTCAAACTCGTTATAATCATTCTCGCTATCGTCGTCCGAGTCATCATCATCATCATCCTCGTCAATTTCATCGTCGTCTGTATCGTCGTCCAGCATATCACCCTCGTCAGTCATAACAATCTCCCCTTCTTCCGCCATCTCCGCATCCCTCGCGTCCCTCGCAGCCCTCGCTTCCATCGCCTCCATATCCCCGTTATTGGCCTCCTCGTCCTCCTCCTCACTGTCGTCGCCACTATCGCCGTGGTCGTCCAACGACGAATCATCATCATCATCCTCGTTCACGGGGTTAACGGGGTTCGCGGCGCGGTAGATCATGTTCACCAGCTCCTGTGTCGATAGAGCACCACCTTCCGTAGCCGCCGCTAGCGCCTCTCCAGCCGCCTCCCGCACCTCCCGCGTCGCCTCTCGCGCCTCTCGTAACTCTCGAGCCAACACTCGCGCCTCTCGTATTTCTCGCCCCAACTCTCGCGCCTCTCGCGTCGCCTCTCGCGCCGCCTCTCGCGCCAATTCTCGCGCCTCTCGCACCGCCTCTTCCGCCTCTCCCCGGCCCCTTGCGGCTTCCCCATCGTCTGGTTCGGTCGGTTCCGCCAATTCCATTTCGCTAACTTCGCCTAGCCTTTCGTGAATCCCGTCGACGAAACTTGCTGACGGATCTGTGCCGTCTTCCCCGCTTGCCCGATCCATTTCTACGAATGTTTCGACTTGAATGCTGGAGCTCAGATGTTACGAGAGGTGTCGGCTGAGCGACCCTGTTTATGACTGGACCGCGTAAGTCGGTCGGAGGTCTGAGCTATCAAGATTTGAAATTCGGAGAAAGTCGAGAGAGCCTGACGGGTCTGTACTATGAGCGAAATGCAAACGACGTAACGACTACAATCTCCAGCATCCTTGCCCTTGGTCCTCGCCAAAACGTGAAATCGATGGAATGCTTGCAGAGCACGGCATCTAAGACACACTGACACAACAGCAGAGGTTTCTTTCTCTTCAGCCATTTCTAGCTATCCCTCTGCCAGTTCTTATGACCCTGCCAGGGGCAGTGAAATCTGGAAGGCTTGCACGAACTGAGCGCGACACGGTAACAGCTTATGATTCGCTTTCGTCAGCTGTAACTGTGCGGGCCTGATTTCGTTGGAGAGATGGCAGAAGAAGTGCGCAGGCGGTCAAGCGTTGGGTCCATGTGATTGGCTTTGGGCTCTGCAAACCTAGCCACTGCTATTGGCTGCAGAGCTGTTGTGCATGCCACGACGACGATGGTGTAGAGTGCGCACACTGCGAGACAATCTATTCAAAGATTAGACGAGTTGGGGGTTCATACGGGGTTGTGGGTACACGTGGTTTCGTCTGATTGGCAAGGCTCAACTAAAACAGAAGGGAGGGTTTTTTTCACATTCGGAATTGAACACGCCCAGGTCTGAAGTTTCGCATTCCAGTCTTGCTTATCTTTCACATAGGAGCCATTGCCATGAATCCATGTTTCTGCATTATCATTTCTCCTCGAATTTTACTTGCTGATCGCATTGCGTTCTTGGCAAGCTTAGATTCTTGGTGAACCTAGAGCTCTTTGTGTTAGAGTCTGAAGTAAAGTTTCCTTCTCATAATCAGCGACGAGTTTCTGAATGATTTCGACAGTTTCAATCACTTCGTCTTCCCGCATCTCCCGGCGCCATTTCCGCCGCTCCTTCCGCTCACTACCCGCGCTCGCCGTCACCGTCGCTTCCATTCTCTTCTCAGACCGCTCGCTCTTCGTTCCCGCTTCCCCATCGTGCGCCGCGAAAGGCGGGGTGCATAGCGACAACTACCATTTTGGCAAGGGTGGCGACGCGGGGGGGACGGAAGCGACGGAGCCGGCGATCGCGCCACGAGAGGGTGGCAGTGGCGCAAGAGACGGGGGAGGAGAGAAGGATTCGGAGTTCTGGGAGCGTGTGAGGCGGAGCGAAAGAATGAGCTGGACATGCCATGGCGATAGTAACGGCGAGATGGTCGACAAGCTGCTCCGTGCGTGAATAAAGGGATGGATTGCGATGCCTATATTCATGCCTCTATAATTACAACCACAGTTTGTGTTGACCATGAATCGTTCTTTTGGAGGATTCTCTAGACATTCATGCTGAGTCATGCTGACATACATGTGCTGACATTCGTGCTGACATACAGACAAGTTGGCATTCATGCGGACATTCATGCAGAAGTTCATTTAGATGTTAGGTAGACATTCATGCTGACATTCATGCTGACACTTTGCATGCTTACATACATGCATGCTGAGATCCATTCCGACATTCATGCTGACAGCCATGCTGACCATCCTGCAGACATTCATTCTGACATTCATCACAATACCTCGAGCCTAGAGCAGCCTCAGTCGCCGCAACATCTTCCTCAACCACCCCTGCCTCTTCCTCAACCACCCCTGCCTCGTCCTGTCCGTGCTACCTGCCAGGCAGCGGAATCGTCCAATCAGAGCGCATCGCGGAGGCCATGAAGCAGATTGACCGTGCTGACTACGTGTTGACCAAGTCAACGGCTTATGATGATTCCCCACAACCCATAGGTGCGTTGACCAATTTAAGGGCCT